CGGACAAAAATTGACAGGTACGTCAACTCCAACCCTTGACAGTAGGCACATCAATAAACCGGAAATGTCATTGGATTGGCTGGAAATAATTGAAACCCATTATCGCCACCTTCATAAAAACAAGCTTGACGAGGTTCACGATACAACCCGCCAATCACCATGTGTGTCCATCATTTTTCTGCTTTTCGCCCCTCAGACGTCGCCGGCAAAATTAAATTTGACAAACTTTAAAAACATAGATGAAACATATGAAAACAAGTTAAATGAAAAAAAAAATAATTATTTGCAAAAATTTAGGAATTTTTATTTAAACCAAAAGAAATACAACATGTGATGTAATAGTTTGTCTCCACATACAAAAATATCAAAAAAGTAAAATATGCGTCCCACGCACACCAGGCTTCCCAAAGCAAAGTTGCCGTAACTTTCAAAATTTAATTTCATATTTTTTTTTATTCATGAGTTGAATTTCATGTTCATGAATTTATTATTAATATTATTATTATTATTTGTTGTTGTGTGGGGCCCCTCAGCTCTGGGGGCCCGACACAGAGTGCGTCCTTTGCTTCATGTTAGATCCGCTACTGTATGAATTTCAATGTATGTATTTGTTTATCAAACTAGAAGCTGTCATTCCTCCGAATTTCCACGAATTTGTTCTAATTTTCAAGGCGTCCGGAGATGTCCGGCAAGATTTTTTTAAGTTAACGTTATGTCCACACATAACTTCTTTTAATACATAAATGTTTTTCGGAGTGGCACCCCAAAAAAAAATTGTTTTTGAAGACTTAAAATAAACTTTTTTGGGCGTGGCACCCGGGGAGATTTTGTTACCCCCCCCCCCCCGCTCCACCAAAAAAATTATGCGCCCCCTCATATCTTTGCCCCTCCCGCCCCGCAAGGCTGGCTACGCCACTGCTGATATTAATTACAAAAATATCTTATTAACTTTTTAGCAAAAATGGTGAGTTTTATGGCAAAAACAAAGTTGTAAAGTAGCGGCGAAAACGGGCTCTGCTTATTGCTCGTTGATTCTGTCAGCTGGGTTCTGGGGGTCGGGCGTTAAAAAGAGACACAAAATGTGGCGGTGCCATACGGCGCATAAAGCGCGATTTACACGATCGCGACAAGTGATAAGAAGAGAGGGAAATGAGGTAACATTATTAAGAGACAATAAAGTCCTAAGACGTCATGTATGCCATGTGAAAAAACTGAGTCAACCTGAAACTCCAAACTCTCAAGAAATCAATCCATCATCACCTTCATGCCCGACGCAAGGCCACAACAACATGTGAAGCAGTGGCGGTTCCTCCATAAGAGCACATGTGCACGTGCACTCCCAAATTAATATCAAACAACTTTAAATTTAATTTTATCATTCTTCAAATTTTAACATTCTACCTGTAAAGTATTAATTTAAAAAATTAGTGGCCAAATGCGCCAGCAAAACAAACGCAACCGGCAACGCTGGAATCACAGCGTCCACCGCGTCGCCTGATCGCCCCGTTCACTGCACATTTCAATATTAAATCCAATTGGTGGAACTATGCCCCCCCGCACTCTTTGTTCCCCGCGAAGGTCTAGCGACGTTCGATGTTTTAAGCTGGCTGGTGTGCACATGTAGTCAGTGCACTTTGGGATCGGAAGCTGTTGTTTTATATTTATTTCGATTCGAGCGCGATTTAACTGAAAACTGTGTGTAGAATGGCGGGATTTCTGAACCCCGATAGCCTTAGCGTGCAATATTTAAAAACAATTAAATTTTCTTCGCTTTCTTTGGAGGAAAAAATCCAAATCAAATGTGTCGGCCGTCCAAAGCCAAATTTAATAATCACCAACATAACAAAATGCAAAAGTCGTGATTATAAACGAACTTTTAATATGGAAACTTACGAAAAAACTGACTGGTTGTGCGGTTGTGATGTTAGTAATAGTCTTTACTGTTTTCCCTGTTTGTTATTTGGAAGCGATGAAGCATCAGAATGGACAAAATCCGGCGTTAAAGATTTAGTACATTTATCCGAAAAAATTAAAAAACATCAAAACTCAAAATCACATCTTACTCTTATCTTTCAATACAAAACGTGTCTGTGAGAATTGTGAGATTGAAAACTATAATACATTTATGTATAAAAACAATTGTTAGACCAGGACGATGTACTCAGCGAGGTAAGTTACTTTGTTACTTAATTTCTAGTTTATTGATATAAGATCCTTCAATTTCCACGATTTGATAGACTGAAAAAAGTATTAAATTGAGCTTAGTTGGTTGTTTGGTAGGGTAGATATGAAATCCCTTAACAATATTTTTAATTATTGGTAGGTAAACACATCACATAACTCATACGATCACTTACAATAAATTATTTTTTTAAAGGCCTAAAATAAACACTTCTGGGCGTGGCACCCCGAGAAATTTCGCGCCTCCGGCGGCGCCTGCGGCGGGCATCCCCCTTTCGGCATTTATTATGAATTACAAATTATGTGCACCCCCAATATGTTATACCACGAGCCGTCACTGATGTGAAGCCCTGGAGGAAGAAGGCAACCGTCCATCCACAGGATTGGTCATTACCAAGGCTAATGAAGGACCAAGACTTGAGCCACTGAAATTGATAAGAAAAGAGGAAATGTGGAGACCTGCTGCTGATACCTTGTAATCGGTGATTAATATAATATGTTTATATTATAATAAAAAAGGATTCGGAGCTCGACAGAGTTATGGGACGGGGGTGTGGCAGTAGAGGTTGTACCGACACGTATTGAAGACGCGGTGCGATATATTGTTATTGATTAAGAAATTGTTAGTTTTGGATATTTATATTAATAATTATTAATAAACTGTTTCTGTGTTGAAGTGTTGTATTATTACCACGAGTAGTGGTTGGCACAAACTTGATCCCCTTTTTTAATTTGTTTAGGGGGACCATGTAGGCTTTATCGCCTTCCTTGAAAGTTGCGTCAAAAAAGTTTATCAATCAAAACGTGTTTATTAAATGAAGAGATTGCTGAAAATTTTCCTTTCCTCCTATTATTAGTCTAAATTATGTCTTATCTTTTGAATAATCGCATTACTAAATTAAATACAATATAAATGGAATTTTTATTATTTGCACTAATGATTTATTCAAATGGAATAATCTGTGGCAGGCACCTAATTATTGGCTTTTAAGTGATATTTGCATAAAACGTAGCCTATTGGGAAAAAAATTGGCAATAAAAAAAGAACTTCATAAGGATGGGCGAAAGCAAACAAATACACCTGGGTACAGGGTACATCTTTGAGAATCTCAGTAAAATACTCTGCCTGAACTGAAAAGTAAATTGAGTTTGTTTATTATGATTTATCAACTAAAAGAACTAGAGGTAGGTAGGTACCTAACAAAAATTATGAGTTTCTGTGAAAAGCATTGTAATGAGCGCAGGTAGTTTAGTCTCTATTCGGACTCGTATACCTACTGGTCAAAAAAAGTAACAGTGGAAAAGTACTAGTTACTGAGATGTTCTTTACCCCAGGAGCGGATTCAGGTTTATTTAGGTACAAATGAAAACTTATAGATAAAGGCAATATAAATTATTGTATAAACCACGTGAGTTAAAATGTTTATTCATTAGAAGAAAATTAACATACTCGCTGGGCTTGTGGGTCAAACTTTTTTCTCATGAGTAAACATTCATTCAACTCACTTGGTATACATATAAATAACTAGAATAAGTAATAAGTAACAAGTAACAGATAGTTTCACGAAACATTTTAAAATATAAAAAATGAGTTATTACAATAAGGCTAGTTTAAAAACTTGAGGCCAACTTAGATGAGAGCTTCTCAATTAACACACATCGCTTATTACAAATACTTCTAAACGGCACGCTGTGCTGATGAGTAATAATAGAGTTTCTGGTTACTTCTTCTATTTGAAGTCAATCTTGATTAAGGCAATGAAATGAGTAATTTTTCAAATATATACAGGATGTTCCCAAATATCATGTACAAACGAAAGGAGGTGATTCTTTGGTTTATTTTATGACTAAAATTTCTAATAAACATAGGTCCGCAAACCCTTCATTACCGATCTACAGGGTGTTGAAATTTTAATGTATTTATATTGAAAATTAACAAGAATATGGCGGCGAGGGGTTTCTTACTTCTAGATTCCTATTGAAAATGAGCAAGAATGTAACTGCGGGACCTCTATTGTCGCCACTGTAGGTAGAAAAGGTTTATTGAGTAACTTGAGTTTCATCTTGCTAATTATAAAGATTTGTTTTTTAGTATTTTTCTCGATAAGGGTCGGTGATACGAAAAAACGACAGGAGAACAAAAAGTTTCTAAATGAGGTAGAAAAATTATTTTATTTCTTAGAATCGACCAGCGGCGCACCGCGAAAAAGTTCAGGGGCAGAAAAGAGGGCATGACCCCTGAAAAAACATCACCCTGTAGATTCTGGCAAACGTTTGACAAAAATTGCAGGTGCTATAAAAAAAAAACTAAAAAAGTTTTAAAACTTCAACACCCTGTAGATCGGTAACGAAGCGTTTGCGGACCTATCTTTATTAGAAATTTTAGTCATAAAATAAACCAAAGAATCACCCCCTTTCGTTTGTACATGATTTTTAGGAACACCCTGTATATAGGTAAGATCTGTTAATAAAGAGAATGTGAAATTTGAAAATGGAAAACGCCCCAATAAATAAATCTAATTACGAATAAAAAACATTATAAAAACTGGTACAGAATCTATAAAATAGGTACTTACTCGAACAAATTTGACTATAAGTATAAATGCTTGACAAAAACTACATCACGAAAAATCCGGCCCTGATGTCGCCCTTTATCACTCAAACACTTGTCCCTTAATGACCTAGACCCCCGAATATAAATAAGACTCGGACCTCGAAATTTGGCAGTCATTTTGAGACACTCTAAAGTTGTTCAAGAAGCAAATAGTAAATTTAACAACGATTTTATTTTTTATTTTTTAAAATTTTTTCGCCTAAAAATGAAGTTTAACAACAAATTGTTCAACAAAGTATCTCACGTTATTTTTGATTTGGATGGTACTATTTTGGGTAAGTTGATTGTATTTTATTTTTAATTTTATTCAATTTTTGTCATTTTTTACCATCCGATTCTTCAGTATTTGCTAGCATTTGCCAAGATCTACAACGTCCCAATTTTCTTTACCTCTCAATTTTTATAGTCTGTAATAAAATTTCTGCAGATTTAGTTCTATTCACTGATAAAGCATGAATTATTTAGGTATACCTCGTTATTTATTCATTCTTATTTTCGTTTCTAGATACCGAAACTCTTTACAGAGAAGCCCTCCAGCGGATTGCCGACATCTACGATAAAGACTGCAACAACGATGTGATCTTGAAGATAGCAGGAATGACCCAACCCATGATTGCTGAAACCATAATTGAAGATTTCGACTTGCCAGTTGATGTAAAAACTTTTTTGGACCAATACAATGGATTTATTGACACCAGGATTGGACATTGTGATCTTATGCCAGGTAAAAATCAAGAGCTCAGTGTTTTCGAACAGTATTTACCTTTTTACTAAATTATTTAAATAATCATATTGTACCATTTAGGTATGTACGTAAGTGTATAAAAATAATAAAAACATCAAGAAATCAATGCATAATATAAATATTCCATGTATGTACAGAAGTGGGCCAATTTTGATATCTTTAACTGTTTGTATTACTGTGGAGCTTCATAATTTTTTTGTTTATGAAATCCATCGATTCTCGTGAAAACTTTCTTGAAGCACTTTTTTAAGCAGAATCCAATGAATTTCTTAGTTTTTTTCGATTTAGCCCCGATTTCAACATATTGAATAAAGTTCGATTTTTTTAATGGGAAACCCTATACATACAGGATGTTTGGCGGAGGGTTAGCCAAACTTGGTGAGGTATAGATAGGCCCATTTCGAAGATAGTTTATTTATACACTTGTGCCCTTAGGGTTTCCGTTTTATTATATCATTGCCTTTCTCAAGAATTCTCAAAAATAGAACTTTTAACTTCTATAACTTTTTTTAAAATGTTTATAAAAATGTTTTTTTAAAAACATTTATAAACATTAAAACTTAACTTAAGGGCACGAGTGTATTAATAAAATATCATCAAAAATTGAAAGGGCACCCACCAAGTTTGGCTAACCCTCCGCCAAACACCCTGTATATTAATTAGTTATTGAATAGCGTTTTTGTTGATTCCAATGATATAGAGTTCGAAGGTTTATGCCTAACAAAACAATTTTCGAGAAAAAAAAAAGTATCAGAAAAATGAGAAAGGAAGAGATAAACATTTAAATCAACACAAACTGAACTATCTAATGAGCTATTAATATACAGGGTTGTCGTTATGTATGGAATATTTCAAAAAGCACTTAAGAAAAATCTACAATATTTCCTACTTGGGGGTTTTTGAGAATGCCCGATTTGGTATTTGCAATGTTGCCACATTTACCGTTTCTATGATGCCATATGTAACTCAATTTTTTTAAATGAAAAATTTCTTCGTTGTTTTTATTGTATTTAAATCAGCGTCCCAACCGAGGTCCCAACATTATTAAACCCCCAAATGCCAAATCTCCATTTGACTTGGTTTTTGAAATATGACAAACAGTTTTTTGTTGACACGTATGGAAACGGTCTCGTATTTCAGAACAGGCTTTAGAAAAATGTACAATCAAAGTCTGTACAATATTTCCTACCTGGGCTACCAGCCCCCTATTATTCTTGCATACGCATTACCCTCGACAATTATCATATTTTTCTGAACCCTGTTCTGGAATTCTAAATCGTTACCATACATTTCAACAAGAAACTGTGTTGTCATATTTCAAAAACCAAGTCAAATGAAGGTTCGACATTGAGGGGTTTTGGTAATGTTGGGACGCTGAATCAATTACAATAAAAATAGAGGGACTTTCATTTAAAAAAATTAAGTTACATATGGCATCATAGAAATTGAATCGGGCATCCCCAAAAACCCCCAGGTAGGAAATATTGTACATTTTTCTGAAGTGCATTCTGAAATATTTGGCCGTTTCCATATATAACGACAACCCTGTATATATGGTGTCCTATTTAAAAAAAAAAGACTTGAAGATATCGAAATGCGGTCTGCACTAATGAAGATTTCATGAAATTTGAACCTCAGAGTGGGGGGCTCATTTTTTTTGTATTTCGCTCAGACAGTGGCGTAGTCAGGATTTTGTCTTGGGGGGGGGGGGGGGGGAAATTTGCAGGAAATGTTTCTTGCGGGCCCACTGTGAACGCTACCGGAGGCAAAACGCCGCAGGCGCGAAATTTTAGGGTGCCACCCCCTTTTTTAAGTCTCTTTACAGTGTGTTTGGGATATATATATGATTAATTTTATAACGTTTTTGTGATATTTTTTGATTGAATTTTTAAACTGTACCATGTATGTGAATGTAACGTCTCCTATGAATCTATACCTATTTAACAACTTCGTATATTTTTCATGTTATGAGAAAGTCAATCTCAAATGTAAGTACCCAATACTATAATGTAGTATAACATACCCAGGTCCGCTCAGTAAGATTGAACGATGAGAATTTTAACTACCTTTTAAACAACAAATATTCTGAAAATGAAATGAAAAACTAGGGTTTCATCGAGACGAGAAATTTTGGCTCGAAGGCAATTTTTCGTCTCGTCTCGATCATCGAGACGAGAAATCAACAAAATCTCGTCTCGATGTTTTTCTCGAAGACAATTTCTCGATCTCGATTCGAGATTCTCGAAAACAAAAACTGAATGTTATTAAAATATATTATATGCATATAACCATTGTATATACACTGGTTATACAATGATATAACATAAGTCTGCACTAAAAGAAAGGGGAAAATGTTTTCAATTAAAAAAATTCCGGTAAAATACAGAGCTATATGCTACAAAAAAAAAACACCGATTATTTGCCCATAAATAAAAAAAAAAATATTTTTCCAAAAAGTGAAAACTTAACAAATCCTTTTTTTAATTTAATCTTTTAGCCATGCATTTAGAATTCACCTAGATAGGTACGAAAGTTTAAAATTGTTTCCTTGTTCGTGAAGAATTCACCGGCAACAAACTGATTATACAGGGTGTCCCGTTTTTCGCAGATGATAACCTCGGAACGCGTCATCCAATATACCTAATTGAAACTTTGAGGATCTGGGTAACTTTTTGTGTCGCTCCTACCATTGTCATCCGATTTCACCACTTTCGCATCAATTCCGATCCAGTGACGTCAACTTTTCGAATCTTAAAATATGTAACTCATGGTATATTATTGTATTTTTGGTTAGAAAATTAAATTACAATGTCGGCAATGTCATATTTATTAAGGCTTTGTTAAAGAAAATAATAAGAAATTATACAGTGTATATACGATGATGCGTACCGAAGTTATAATTTGAGAAAAATCTCATGGGACACCCTGTATATTAGCTTGGGCTAACATTTCTTGGATTAACATTTTTCGGATTAACATTTTTTCTTTACGAATATGGAAATCTTGATTTTTTGCTTTTGTTATTTGCTTTGTTATCTTTGTTTTTTTTTTATGTTTTCATAATTTTCTTAAAGCTTAAAATCAATTAAAATTATTTCGTATTTCCTAACATATTCTTTATTTTCGCTTTTCTGACCTATTAAGAGTTGTCTGTGCTTTAGGTATTGCAGCACCTACATTTTTTCGAGATCGAGAAATCTCGAAAAAATTTCTCGATCTCGAAAAATCTCGAACTGTTTATCTCGTCAATTCAGTCTCGTCTCGATCTCGTCTCGAAATCGAGACGAGACGAGACGAGACGAGACGAGAAATCTCGAATTTCGAGAATCTCGTGAAACCCTATGAAAAACAAATAAGACCTACGTTGTGGAAACTTACTCAATTTTACTTACTGGACATGCGTCCGACATAGCAAATATTTGGAAAATTTAAGGGAAGCTGTAATATGTAAAAGAAACGCAAAATTTGTGAAACGCCTCCTTTATTTTCAAAGAAAAACGTACCGTTCTCGACCTGGAATTAACGAGGAAAAAGAGAACGGAAGAGAAAACCTCGATTCCCCAAAAATCGAAACATACTGTGCAATTTTAATAATAATAATTGTGAGTCATTAATTCAATAATTTAAGTCAATAATTCAATAAAAGCTGAAACTAGGTACCGCCCCTGTTCTTGTGCTAAAATTTTAATTACACACACTACATTCAATCAACACTACCTATATTCCAAACTGAAGAGTTTTTGGTTAGTTAGCCAGTTTCCCAGCAGGTACTGAGGTCCCATACGAGATGCTACCCAGCTATAGTTGAGTTTGAGCCAATATCTCTAGATTGATTATTTCAATTTGTTAGGATATTCTCTTGTCAGGGTAGGAAAATGTTAGTAAATTCAACAAGGCTCTAATGCACGCTCTAAATTCAAAAATCCTAGCACAAAAAGACAGCACATAATTTCTTAGGTTTGAATTTACTCCTTATCTGTGTTGTTTACAGTATGAAACGATTCTGGTTAAATACATAAACAATGCACATGTTATAAAAAATGTTATAAACAAACAAAAAAACATTAAAATGAACAAAATAATAGGAACTTGCACAAATTGACCTCTCAGAAACAAAATAATAATTAATCCACTAACCTGTACGTTCCTTGCACACACACTAATAACAAATTTGATTGAACAATTAATTTTAATGCAAAATAGGAATGAAAATTGAATAATCAATAATTACAGATGCTCGACTCGGAGAGCCGCCGCTTGTTCTCCATTCCAAAGCCTAATCGCTTATTCTTCTTTACCTTCCCTTTCGGATGGTACCCTCGTTGTCCCCTAAGCCTAAACTCTGTGGCGCAGTACATGGTTGCAACATTTAATTTTCTTCAGTAAACGTTTTTTTAAAAAAAATTAAGTTTTGAAGAAATAATATTTTTAATAGGTGGTTCTTCTCAATAAACATAACTGGAGTTGTTAGGACTCTATATAATAACATTGTCTCACCATTTTGTAGTGTCCTGAAGATGCAATAATATATTGCGAAACGTCAACAATCTGAAATAACAGACTTCTGTTGTTTTATTCCGATCCAATTCCAAACAAATCCTCAACCAATTATAATCAAGGAATCGACAACAAACTAACCAAGCTTCTGAGACTGTTTAGTTTAATTTTGAAGAATTATTTATAAAATTTAAAGGTCTTTGGGGGGGGGGCAAATGCCCCCTTGCCCCCCTCTGGCTACGCCAGTGCGCTCAGAAATTAACGTTTCTTATTAAAAATGTCCAAATAGGCTCACCCTGTACATTATTTTACATACCTACATAAAAAATGTTGTTATCGAAAATTTTACCTCAAGTTGTGACCCATCTTAAATTTGTTTTATTCTTACTAAATATTTATATTAGAAACAACAATGCCAACATTTGATCGAGCAGAAATATCAATGTCAAGAATCATAGTATTAAAATTTGGGAAAATAGTATATTTCCTAACTAGTGCGGAAAGTACCACTTTTCCGCACGCGATTGCAGTT